TGTGATGACAAGTCTCTTAGGTGCACGCAGTCGACAGACGACACGTATTGTTTTTTTCCCTACTTTAACGGGCAAAAATCCCTCTTTCCCTGTTGTTACATCGCTGTTCTGTCAGCTGCTAACAATGAATGTTACAAATTACAATAATAACGATATGCTTTAGTCGAAATTAATAATACCAGTTTCAAACGTATGCAAATAAGAAAAATACTCCAGGTTAAATGTCATTGTTAATTGTGAATGTCACGGTATATAGTTAAGAGTTATCAGAGGCCCTAAAAAAACAACTTTAAATTGCTTGTCAGTAAAAGAAGAACACGGAAAATAATAATTACCTTTAAAACATTCAGAAAAAAACGGAACTTTCCCTTTGACGATATTTAAAACGCGTTAAAAAAAACTTTTCCCCTCTTTTAAAGACAATATTCAATTATAAGCGAAAAAAAGCAAATCAGACAGTTTCCTAAAATAGTCTTAAGAGCTCTTGACTTATTACTGTTATAGCTAGAGGATTAGTAATATTTTTTTTTTTTAGTTTCACATACACTTTTGTATGTGTTTTTAGAGTGATTGAAAACAAACGAGCAGCAGCAGTGGTTGACCAGTGTTTCAGGGAAGAATTTTCGAATCAACCCAGGTTGTTAATTGGAAAAGTTAAGAATAATTACTGACGTCACAGGCAGACTTACTAGCCGACCGCACTAATTATGAGCGCATTCATAACAATAGTAAAGAGCGGTATGTTATTATTTGGACAATACGATAAAGGACCACAACAACACATACATATTATTGAATTTCTAGTAAATACCGCAAGACCGTTTCCGATTCCTAGAGGGTAATAATTGGAATTCCACAAAGACTTTGACTACGCGGAAACTTTGTCGTAGATTGCAAAGCCGTCGTCAGACCGGAAATTCGGCCGCTAATTTGACACGAGATTGTGTGGTACGTCTTAATTAAGGATCTATCATAATTACACGATCACATTGAAATCTCCATCAGCTTTAATTTCAAATCGCTTTGGGTGGAACCCACAACTATTCACGCCGAAGTAGTACAAAAGGGTTGGATTTGCTTTCGCAATTTAACAGGAAATCGCTCAAGCTTTACTCCGAACTTAATCGAACGGAGCTTGATCATTGCATTCCAGTTACATCGTGTAATTCATCTGTCCTCAGATTTCACCTTGCATGTATTTATTCTATACGACAATATAGTTGATTAATTTTCAGGCTGAATAAATCAAAATGTACATGCATTATCTAAATGTAAATAAATTGTAGATTTTACGAATATTAATTTTATTCGTGATTTTCTTAAATAACATAAACAATAAGAGCTTAACAATTTCAAAAATGTATAATTATCTTAAATAATAGTCTGTTTAAGTTTTTATAAAGCTACTGCGATTTGTCTAGAAACAATCATCTCATGATGGCGTTGGGCCTTCATGATGAAGCTTACAATTTTCTTGTTAACAACTTGAAACGCATTAAACAAATGACTTGTAGCACTTGAAATTTCTTATTTGACTTTAAATTCCCTAATTTTTTATCAATTAAACAAATGTCTAAAAAACAGATTAAACAGAAAATTACAAATTGTAAACGTACAGACTATTATGTGATCATAAGTATCCAAAAATATTACCGTTTTTTACGTTAAAAAGGTTACAATTTTGTTATTAAACTCAACATAAATACAAATTGCGCAAAAGAACCGCACAGAAAATTCCTTCGTAGACCAAATGATCGTTTTAAGCTCGTCTAGAGAGACTCTTGTAAGTAAAAATATAGAAAAAATGTATTTTAGCTTACATTATGATTTATTGTAAATGCCAAATTAGTTAAATAGGAAAAACCTAACCTCATAGAGCGCACTGATTAACGGAAAACCCGTTCAAAATAAATCTACGGTTAATCGACAATGCAGAAACAAAACAGTCAACTCGTGATATTGAGTTTTGGTTTTGAAGGGTCGCTATAATGTTGTACATTGAGAGATAATGCTAGGACGATAATAATTTCAAGGGACCGCGATTTCGTATAGAGGTCGGAAACGGCAGTCGGTTGACTTATCCCCAGTAGACCCTAATTTCATTCGTGCCATGTACAAGTGTGATGGTGTGTGTGTGTGCGTGTGTATAGTTATGTTTATGTGAATAATAAATTAGGTCGGATTTGTAGGAAAGGGATGGACAGAAAGCGAAAAAAAAAATAGCGGATCCATTTCAATTTATAATGTTTGGGTGTTCTTGTCGAACCGTTTGCAACACCCAGCAATATACAACACGGTGCAGTGTACCCAACTGAATATAATTTATTTTATCAAAGCGTTTTGGCCAACACAGACCGACGCTGGGACGCTCAAAATGTAAACGTCAACCTTGTCCGTGTCGTCTGACCAACAGTCATTAATCATTGGTGCGAAGCGACGTGGCCGTTGCATTTATATTCGGGTAAACACAGACTACTGCCGGATGTAATCATAATGTCATCAACTTTCATATTTGCGCGTACAGCAGCTTTCTCGCAGCTAGTAACGCCACAAGGCATTATGATAATACCGTTAAAACGGATAATTTATTCATATTTCGTTAAAACGCCGTCAAGGTTTACCGTTGGAAAACGCCGGCAGTTTTAATTAGGAATTAATCAAATTAAAACATAACAACGGTTATCGTCCCCCCTCCCTCCCTCCCCGCCCGGGTGCAATAACATAAACAAAAGCAACAGTGCACTTTCAGAAAATAAATTGAAATCAACACTATCGGTTTATTCGATTTGTATTTATTAACCGAAAACAGTAGGTGCTGGTTCATATCCGGCCCGAAGGACCATATGAGATTCAACACCATAATGTGTACTGTTTATTAAACATAAAATAGTATAAACTAAGATAATTATATTATGACTGTTGGTTGTGGTTTAATTCAATAATTAATAATACTATAAAATATGTTACTGCACCACCGCTATAGGAACTAACATCGGTAACCAGTAAAAAACGTCTTGGCCGTTAACTATAAGTAAACACACATTATACGGTTCACCACCAGTAAAATACTACCAATATGTTTTCATAAAATTATCCATCAAAAGAATTTACTACTATTACATAGAGCTCGTTTAAAAAAAATGTATTACTTTGTTTCGATTAACTTTAGTTAACAAGATATTTGCTTGATACAGTTTATTAACGTGTGTTACTCAATATAATATTGTATACAAAAATAGGATCGACCACTGAGCATATCGGACTAACATTGAAAAACCTGTGAAGGAAATAAAAACTTTAATGCGGGGCAAGTGTGCCGAATATTACAAAAAGTAAAATTGATCCATTCAGAACTACAATACAGAATTGGTTCACAGAAAAACGTTGATTGGTTACTTACCTAAGGTTTAAGTTTGAACAGCCGTAGACATAATTTTTGAAATTTATAGTCAAGAAGAAATTATATTTTGTACATTTCTGAAATGTTGTCCCGAATCATTTAAGTACCTACTCTGCAGAAACGCGGGCTAGATTTAATCACAACTCTGATACGATTTCGATGGTCACGGTAGATTAAAGGGAGAAAACTGGTTTATTATAAAACAAACACAAACAAAACGACGGTGTTAGGTGAAGTTACGTGACGGTAGTTATATTTTATGAGTTAAAATTTTGTTTCCAAACGAGTTCAGGGGAAGTTAGAAAAAATAAATTATAATAATATAAGATAGAGAAAAAGGAGATAATAAATTCGATATGTTTTCGTTCGTTTCCACGATAAGGCGTGCCCTGAATATATTACACGAGAAGTCAACAGTATATATTATATAGAAGAATATACCGAGAATAGGTATATCTAAAAGCACATTGGCTTCTTTTTGTCCGGATATATGTGTAATATATTTATACGCGATGTGTATTATAATGTTATTTTGCATTTCAAATGAATTTTGATAGGTTTCCGACGAAAGAAATGCATTGAAACCCAGAAAAGAGATAATCCAGCGTATCCTCCCTTAGGCTAAGCCTAAAGGCACTCCCGACTTCGCGTCAGCAAAACAAACCGATAATTCCCAGGAACACAAAAATACATTTTGATACCGTTCAAAATAACATGCTTACTCTTGTCTTTCTCATTCAGATTTTTATAAACACAGGCTTTCCAGTACATGTCCATAGCTCACCGCTTAATACAAAAACCTTGATACGATGAAATCGTAACAGAAGAAATATTAATTATAAATTTAAAACAATAGATTCAGTTAAATCAAGTATTTAATTTTTTACTCGAGAATCAAAAGAGATGAAAAAATATACAACAAGTACGAAAAGTCGAATTAATAAAGCGGATTTTCATGATAAAGAGTTTTGCTCTGGTTTAACTGCTTTACCGACTACTAATCACTTGGTGTTTTGATTTAATTAAGTTTTGGTTTTTTAATGTACATAAAACTCGTCAAAACAAAAAACAAAGTTTCGACATTTGGGCATTTTAATGTTTTGTGATTTCTCGAAATTGTTCGTCAATAAAACGAGAAACGTTGACATTTTCTGTGGAATGTTTTCAGTACCCCTTACTACATTTTAAGACTCACTCGAGACGGATTCAAGTGGTACAACATATTGCTCGCCAAAAAGAAACAAACTTATACCCAATAGTTGCGGTAACACGCTTGGTCCGTATGCCAGTACGGCTTTCCGTCTCCTCGAATTAATATTTACCGAACAAAAGTTCCCAGACTTGATGGCATAAAATACAAGTTTCTCGTTCAGACACACATATTGATATTGTAAAAACAGCGGACGGTCCTAAGGAGATCTATCCGGACGAAGTGTAGCTCAGATTCTGAATTCCATTTTCTTTGGTTTTATCGAAAACTTTATTTTTTAATAACACATTGCAAATTAAATCACAGAAAATGGATTCTCAGTGGTTTTGTCAATTTATCGTACCACACATATTTACTATATTCCATCGGGTTATTGAATGGTGTACTTACTTTGGAAATGATTGGACGTATCTTGCATAGATATGTTGTGCCTTGACGACGATATCGTACTGTTAGATGTTCGGTAGCATATGCAATACACTGTAAGTACGATAACGCATACGCCTAGTGTGGAGAGTATGATGAGCGTGGCCACGGCCAATATGGTGACGTTGATGCCAAACAGCGTGGGCGATGGGGGACCTGAAAATTTACAAAATTATTTTTTAGATTTTGAAACAAAAAAAAAAACACAGCAGCAACAGTAGCTACCTTACAGCTGTCTTACCTTGACACGTGGGTGAGGCGTCTTCGTCGGAACCGTCCGGACAGTGGTGTATGTTATCGCATACTAAATCTTCGGATATGCAATGTAAATGGGTCTGGCATTTAAATTCTTTACAGTTTTGGACTGAAACCAACGAATCTAAGAATGCAAAAAACAACAAATAAAAACAATATTATACCAACGAAGTTCTATTCAGTAAAAATAAGTAATAACCTATAGCAGATGAAATGTGAAGCTCAAAAGGGTACCGTCATTATTAGAGCAAATTATAAGTAAGTATTCCAACTAGATGGTATGAAACGAATCTCGTTTCATAGGCTTTAAAACATATCCGTGTGTACTTATTAAATTCCTAATACTTATATAATGTTATTAAAAGAATAGTGTGTTAGTAAAATTTCTCGCCAAAATATGATTACAAATTATTTCGAATATACAGGGTAAACCATTTAACGTAAGACACGTTTTGAATAATTACTTTTAAAGTTATTAAAGTTTTAAATTTAGAACGAAAGGGACGGTGGAGTGCAGAGTTATTTTCATATGCATTACTCAACCCAACTCCACTTCACTATCTACATTTTAAACTTAAATAACTTTAAAAGTAACTATTCAAAACTATATAACCTTAGTTAACATTTTCAGCACATTATTTTTACTTTAAAAAGTTGATGAAGTACATATTTTACCAGTTTAAATGTTGTTAGAGTATGGCAAACAATAATAAACAAGTCCGACAACTCTACTGGAAAGTAAACTTTTAGACAAACAATTTTTTTAAAAATTAATTTTACGGTGTTTTGCCATGTAATAATAGTATTCTTGCTGCCTGAGATTTTAATGAGAACTCGGGAACTCGTTTGACCAGGGTAGTTCATTATGGCGTAGCTAGTAAATATAACATGGTTATTTTTTATTGAAAATAATTTCCATTGTCGAAAAGACACTTGGACAACGTTTAATACTCACATGGATCTTTGAACGCCGTTATAATTAATCTAAACCCGTTGGTACTCGTGCCCCAGCCGTCTGTCACGTACTTGAGCGTGACGAAATTCGTACGGGTGAATAGCACGCCGATGGATTGCTTGGTACTGCTGCACGTTATGTCGGCCTGTAACGATATACCGAGACAACACACATAAGTATACATACATAATGTATATAATATAATATATATTATAAACAGTGCACAAATAGTACAATAGGCGCGCAATGAACGAGGAAAACCGCGTCAACGTGATTAGGGGTGACAGACATATTATATATTATGATACCCGGTCGAGATTACAGCGAGCGCATCATCTCTAAAACCGTTTTATTTTCCTCCCTTTCAGACCAAAGCGATACACCACATAGTATTATCCTTGAATATTATTTTTTGAGGGGAAAAAGAATGTAAAAAATAACCGTGTTACTACGAACGTCTTATTGTCTCGCTCCAAGAAGCCGCTTAAACTTATGCCAGAGCATTATCCCCTCATGCAATTTATATGGTGGCTGTACACATTTGAAGGACGAACACATGTCTTAGTTAATACGTTTCAAAAAAAGTTTCTCAAATTTATTTTTTCTCATTTATCTACTTTAAATCATTCGTTCACAAATATCACTCTTAATTTGTTAGAATACAAGTGATTATATTTTAAGGACGAACCCATTCAAGTCAACTACAATTATTTAATAAACTGAAATCAAAATCAAAACAATTTTTTTATTTAATTTATTTTTTTATTTTAATTAACGTTTTAAAATAAATATTCGGTTACCGTTATTTTTTTAATTAGAATTTAGGTATTTTTATTTTTGGTTTGAAATAAGGTTTTGGTTTTGTAAAATACGATGGAGCAGTAGGTACACACTGATAAAAAGTATTTAAAGTATTTCAAAAAGCATTTCGTTGCACCACACCTTTCCGTCTGTTAAGGTAACTACACTTTAAACGTTAACGAATTAACTCCAAAAGTATATTTTTAAAACTTGTTATAAAGCAGTCAGAAACTCTACTCTTTAAAATGGCTATCTCAATATTATTCTTAAATTAAACAAACGATTATTTTTTCTAATAGTTTACTATAATGCATAGTGTTTTATATCGACAGATATAATATTTTTACAAACTAATTTTTAAAAAAATTTTAAAGGCAACAAATTTCCAAGGAAAATTTTAAAGGTAAAACCAGGACTCTCTGTATAATATGAATACATTTAAAAAAAATTAATCACGTCAGTTCTGGTATGCTTTCTATTGCTTGAAAATACTGTTTTCGAGAATGCGGTTACATGCCTAGAATTTTTTAATTATCTTTATTTTATAAAACATGAAATATAAAAACGCGTTTTACTGACAGGGTGAGTAAACTGATTTGAATAGTAATTAATCAGCGTCGCTTGCACCTCTATTCTAATATAGAGTTAATGTAAAAACGTGTTTTTATTTTACAAAAAATGGTTACATATTGACCAAAAATAGAACATAGTTTAGGAATGCTCCCAACTAATAATGACCCAAAACCCAGAATTTTTTTAATATAATAAAATATTGTTTAAGAGGATTTTAAATACTTAGACGAATTATACTTTGACGAAATATAATACGAGTATAATATATGCAGTTCCTAAAGGAAAATTATCGGGCATAGTGGGGACGGGGAGGTCACAGGTCTACAAGAACTATTATGAATAATAAGTCATTTTAAAATAAACGCTTCGATTTTGTGGATAGTAACTGCATACTGTACAGTCCAAACCAAACACAGTATAAACCATTACAGTAAAAAAGTATTTAAATGAAGTGCAGTGTCCACAGATTAGCATTAAATCGTTTGTTTGAAAGTGATTTTAACTTTTACCGCTCAAGGGACCAAATACATACAATTTGTGATTTATAGAGTTGCTACTGAGAGATATCGATCCAGTATAAAAAAAAAGTTAAAGTGGGCATAGATTAAAAAGTGCATACTATTGTAAAACCAATAACATCGAAGTTAAAAAAGTCATTAGAAACACCTAACCTAACCAAATAATAATATTTGTGTTTGGCGAATTGTTATTTTAAATAACAACAAAAATGGTCAAAATTCATTTTCTGTAATTCGTTAACTAAGCGGCAGTCGCTGAACGTACACCTAACCTAACTTAAGGTTTTTAGCTTTCAAAGTTAAGTCTGATGGACATTTTAGAACAATGTTACCAGAACCGTCCGATGTGCTAAAAATCGATTGAGTGAAATAAATCAAGAGCTTTATTTCTGTTGCCGTTAGTTGATAACTTTGAAAAAAAGTACAGTGCCATCACGGAAGCATGGCCAGAAGACAAATACATAAACGGATGGCGAAAAAAAAGAAGTCAGAAAAAGTAGTCAAGTGAGCAGAAAAGCGGATTAAAGAAATCGGAAAACTTCTGCCATATTCTCAAATAACACGTGTGAACATTGACACAAATGTGTACACATTAAAACGTACAATGGTATTTTGTTCAGCAAAGAAATGTATAATGTATGTACTTCTATTGTATTGTACTGGACACTAACATAACCGAAAAGTGAATTACATAGGAATTACATTAGAGCAACAATAGTAAACCAGACAGATACAATGTAAATACTACAATCTACTCTATCTGGGCAGGCGATCACATAATGCAATTCGCATTATCTACATTGATAGACAACTATTGCAGTCGTTTGATTCATTATTGCATTGATGTTATAATAATCGCTGTAATATAAAATAATATTGTGATCGCTGGACGACCGTTAACGATGACTTCACAGAACGACGCATTTGATTTGCTCAAGGGCCGCCGGGTTTAACTGTTAACAAAGGGTTATAGAGACGGTCTTATTTACAAACGTTGCTTATGATTCCGGATAAAGAGTGACGTCTCAAATCCCTCGGTCCCTCCTAAGTCGTTATAAACCATTTACTACCGCACCCACCCTCGTCCACGGCGTTTGCCTCGGTAATAGTTTTCATAATAGTTTAGTAATAATATGTGTGTTTCGGGTATGAATTGCATGACGTGTATTATTACCATGACATAAGTCACTGCGAAATCAAAATATAACGCTCCAAGGTATATTGTATATTTTGGCGGGACATTCATCGCCCAATAATAATAATATGATACACAATCACTGTGATAACTCTGCACAACCTGTCAACGACCGGTGCTGGTACGACCGCTTTTTGTCAGCTGCTGCCAAGTGGTGCAGGCCAAATTCGATTTGGGACACGTTATGTTTACACGCAAAAAGGTGCCCGTACCTGCACGTGAGCACAATGGGTTCACACAAAGGCTTCTTCAGGCATGAACATTGATTGGTAATGTCGCGTTCTTGGCCTGTCGCCTTAACTCGACATAATAATATGCTATGTCGGCAATAGCTGAAGTTTAAATTCACACAGTTTTTTTTTTTGGTCTTGGAGTGACAAACAAGATTGTTTCATTGAAAGTGGCTTATGTCAACATTTGCATAATTTAGCAAAGAAAATATACGCTATAAATCAAATCACGACATGGACCGAAAAAAAATGTAGTTGTGGCAAAAAAAGTAATAGTATTTACTCATATCTGGTAAACAGCAAGTTGAATTTTAGCTAAGAAATATTTTATGTGTTTAGATCAAACCGTGATTTCTAAATCTAGAAAATTTAAGTTTAAATTTTTGCTTGAATTAGGCTCATGACTATGAAGGTATAATTTGTACCTGTTCAATATTGGAAGACTGAAGATAATGTGAATAAAAGGAAACAATCAGATGATTTTTTTAGTGTATACAAATAAGTGCGTCGAATAGATAATAGAATATATTCAAATATTACATGGCAGAGTGAAATATATTATGAGGAATTGTTTAAGAAAAAAGTCTAAGAAATTGGAAGTAATCCACTAAAATCTCCCGATAGTCTAGTAAAAAAAAAAAGTTACTTAGTTACTTTTTTTACGACTGTGATTCGTTTCAATTTGTGTGTATAATTTTCTTTACTATGTTAAATAATACTCGTATTCAATTTGTGGGAACTGCTGAACTATGTCTCCCCCAGTTACTCTCGAAGTCCGGACTTAGCTTTAACTTTAACTGAACGTGTACAACCGATAGACGCTATGTAACGGTAACCGGACAACAAAAAATAAACATACTATTTGCTAAGTACCAATTTGTTCGATATATATTAAAAATATTAAGGACGACCAACGCTGGACGGGTACGATTGGCAATACAGAACCAGTTAATTAATAGGTGCGTGTCATGTTACCTCAATGTACAGAAATAAAATAATTATGTGTAGCGAGGTTTTAAAATAAGCCATGCATGAAATGGTTCAAAAACGTTTAGTTTGCGCTGTTTTTTTTAAACGAGCCTTTTTTCACTTTGTTCGAAGTAGGTATTTTTTGTCGAGCCATTTCGCCGAACTTGTTATCAATTGAATTGCTTACAAAATCTCGACGAACGGCTACGACGTTCGTTCACTTCTCTTTTATTGTCGCATATATTTAAATATATCTATACATTATACATACGTATGTTGTATATACATATGTTGCTACTTCATATCATTATCATAATTTGTCGTGTTCGGTTCGACCGAGCGATGGTTTCTCAGTAAAAGTAATAACGTTGTTGTATTGTATAATAAAAGTGCTTCGCCAAAGCAGCTATTCGCACGTACTCGAATGTCGACGATGAAAAGTCTAAGCGTGGAAGAGGAAGAGGTTGAATAAAAAAAATAAAAATGGCAGAATAACGAAAAATAATTTCGGCGGCTAAAAGCCATTTCCTCTATTCAACCGACGACGACGACAACTTACATATTCGCGATTATGCGGACGTCCCTTCGAATTTACATAATACCAACAAAACATACACCGAAGCAGCAACGATGTTCTTCTACTGTGTACACAAAGGTATGTGTAGAATGTTTTCTCAGAGAGTACGTTTCCTGTGCAAATATAAGCGCATCTACGCACACTTGCAAGTATAATATCGTACAGATGTACCGGCTCAAAGCCACAGAACACAAACATAGACTATTGTAATTTTTAAGGGAATTCCGACAAAATCAAATCACCTCGATTCGCAACCAATTCGGTAGTAACGAATTTGCAAAC